GAAGCTGCCGCGTGTGTGTGTGTGTGTGTGTGTGGTTTTCTAACAACAGTTCTCATCATCAACACCGTGTGGCCAGCTCCACTGCGTGAGAGAGTTGTATCTAAAAATAAGGAAAAGGCAGTGTAGCACAAGAAAGAGGAGTTTGAACAAAGGGGAAAGTGCCGCATGGCACAGTGTGTGAAAACTACAGAGAAAGGTTAAAGAGGAGAGTGAAAATTAAAGGTCCAAAATTTTTGTCTTGTAACATAAATATCTGCATGGAGACATCTGTGCCATCATAATGTAGTTCTATGTCCCTGGTTGCTTTCAGATATTAGAGAATACATTTGGCAGCTTCCCAGTGATGGCTCCTTGGAGCTGAGCTGTGTTTGCTTAGTATTCCAACAACCCAGGCAATGTCTGGGCGGGTTCTGAGCATGGCATACATGAGGGAGCCTACAATTGAGAGATATGATGTTTGACACCCTTCAATATGCATCTTGTATTGCACAATATTTTCCCCTGGAGCATTTGCAAGAAGTTGTGATCCATGGGCCATTGGTGTCCATACTGGTTTGCAGTTCTTCATTTCAGTATGCTTCAGGAATGTGTCAATGTATTAGCATTGCAATAGGGAGACTGTTTTGTTTGAACAATCACGTTGGATTTCTATTCCGAGGATGTATTTTGCTTCTCCAAGGTCCTGCATTTTGAACATGGATTCAAGTTTGGCTTTTGTGATATCCATGAATTTTTGGGATGAAGCTGAAGGAGGTCATCTACATAGACAACAACAAAGCATATTTGTTTGTTGTTCCGGAATACATAGAGACATGTTTCTGCATTTAGTCTTGTGAAACTGAGCTCCTGGAGCTTGCGATTAAAGGTTTTGTTCCATGTACAACCAGCTTGTTTTAGTCCATAGATGGATCTCTTCAACCTCCAGCAGCATCCAGGTTGGATAGGAACACCCCCCAGAGGAAGCATGTACAGTTCTTCTTCAAGTTCTCCATTGAGATAAGCTGTGGATACGTCCATTTGATCAAGTTCTAGGTTGTATTTTGCTGCCAGGGCTAGAATAATTCAGATTGATTCTAAGTTTGCAACCAGGGCAAAAACCTCCTGGTAATCAATCCCCTCCCTTTCAGTAAAACCTTGTGCAACAATTCAGAGTTTGTATCTCTCAATGTTTCTGTTTTGATTGAACTTGATCTGGAATACAGGTTTTGATGTGATATGTTTTACTCCCTTCAGAAGTGGGACCATGTCATATACTGCATTTGTATTGAGATTTAGGAGTTCCTCCTCTAAGGCAGACTTCCATAATTCTCCATCTGGGCATGATAAGGCTTCCTTTTTGGAAGGTCTGTATTGAATGGACCAGTGCTTGTTATTCCAGCAAAAAATGTCTCCTCTGTGTTGGATGTCTTTTCGGGAACCTCAGGAGTGTTAGGTTTCTCCATGGAGTTGCATGGAGTTGTTGTGC